CGCCGGTGTCTGGGGGCACCGGCCCCGGGGATGGGGCGGAGGTGTCTGCCCAGGAGCCCCACGGGCCCCACGCCCAGGGCAGGATGAGGCCGGCACGCGTGGCAGCCTGCTGGGGAGCGTGCCCGGGGACCGGCGCCTCTGCCCGTGAGTTCCGAGTTGTTCCTTGTCTTCACTTCCCTGGATGCCAGTGGCGGTGGGGGGGACTGTGCTGAGCCAGTGAAATGCTCCCTCAGCTCCTGCTGCTTCGGCAGCATGGCTGGGGAATAACGGGCTGCGACCATCAAACTGTGGCGCACGTCTCACGAACGTGAGTTGGATCCTCCGGGGGAAGTGTGAATGCTGGTGTTTGCTGTGTGGCTTAGGAGGATTATGTTCAGGGGGTTTTTCTGGAAAGCAAACCATCAGTGAAATACTGTGAAATGTTTTCTCCAGTTTCTTTGTTCCTCCTAATTTGAAGTGTTGTCTAGGTTGTACCGTGTCTTTGTTTTCATACATATAGGAATCAACTATTCCATGTTCTGCTTATTTTAGACAAATAATCATTTGATGATGTGTTACCTTTTAACTTATACACCCATGTAGAGTTTTACCTGATAAGGTATTTAGCAGAAGGAGCTCAGTGGGCATCTCTGTTTCATTCAGTTAGCAGACCATTGCCTTAATGGGAATTGTTGAAAGCACCTTCCATAAAACAGCACCAGAAATACATTTAGTTTGCTCCTTTTTACTAAAAGAATCTAAATTTTGCATGCCCAGTTTCCACGCAGGTATTTATGAGCTGTCCAGCACTGTCTTTTGGCAAAGGCTGGCTCTTCCCCTGGGGATGAGGTGGGACCTCTCTGGGTTCGAGGCTCAGTTCCTCCTTCCTTTGGCTACCAAAGGGCAGTGTGGGCCCTCCAGGGAGCACCTGGGCTGGAGCTGGAGCTTCCCCTGGGCGTGAGGACGATGGGGTGAAGGTGCACCTGGCCCGGCCTGGGTTGGCACACAGCCCCCATGCTGTGCAGCACAGGGGCACCGTGCCCCAGCCCGCTGTGTGCCCCTGGTGCGCCTGCTCTGCCAGCTGTGAGCTGCAGTCAGCCCTCCACCCCACGCACCGACGGGTGTCATTGCTGCATAAAGT